GCCACGATTCCAAAGACGCCCTCCCAGATGTTCTCAGCAGACTCAAAAGTGTTCTTTCCTGCCGTGTAAAAAGTTCCTATCACGCCAGCGCAGATGATCAGGCATATGAATACGCCTGCTGCCACGCCGTACCAGACCTGGCGCACGAGCCGCTTATAGACAGCAGCATCCTGTGCAGGACCTAGAGTTTGCTTGAGAAAGGCGAGGAGTACAGAAACAATAATGCTTGTTTCTAGACATTCGCGGAAGCAAATGAAGAAGACTAGTGGTGCAAAGTTAGTACGAAAGGCGCTAGGCGCATGTGGAGGGGCAGTTGTTGTATAGTCTGCTCACACACCTGGTACTGCAAAGACGTTCGGCATCTTGATAGCTATCAAGCTCGCTCAATTGGCATTTGATCTAGGAATCAGATAAAAAGCGAGGAGTTTAAGAAGACAGGATCTAATCAGATGAGGGGTGGGCGGCGCCTGCTCTCAGCTCTTGCTCGTGCATGTGCATCCCGTCTCTGTATCATGACGCTAGTGAAAAGCCGAGTTTCGGAATACCTATGCCCAATGACCCTGGCTTTCAATCAAGTTTGCGAGCCGACGCGAGAGGACGGGCCGATGTCATATTGTGAAAGTTTTTCTTGATGGTGTTACTGTTCTCAGAAGCTCTCGGGACGTACTGGTGGTGCTGTTCAACCATTGTTTTCACATCGTCTACATAGTAAGTACCACAGCCAGACCATGCAACATCTACCCCTACGAAACCCCTACCAGCTTCAAAAAATCGCCACCATAGTGATCAGCGGGATTCTCACGCCCAGCCACGCCAAATGAGTTCAAGACTTTAATAGCGCAGGCTAAGGCGGGCTTGTTGATTCTTCGGCGCCTCTTGACCAAATGGCTGGGCCGATAGTGGTCCAGATTATCAGATGGTCCGATAACAGGCAGATCGGTATGACCCTGCGGCGAATCACGAGACGCGATGCTTGACGCAGGCCAGACATGATTGGATCTGCGGCCCGTACACACACCAGGCTTGACTAGAAGCGCATACATGCCCCGCTCTGTGTTGTTTGACCACTGTCTTTTCACTCTGCAAACTTCCGGCAGATGATCTGATAACTCGGCGCCGAAACCAATGTGGCTTCAGCTAGTCGCCCGCAGCTGATGGCAAGGCATAATCTGATTTTCAGGTATCGGACCAGTCTGGTGCCATTTATCTGATGATTCCATGCTCACACAATCAGACCTAGTCTTGTCTGATCATCCGCTCAACTGAGCTGAGTACGTCGTGGTGTACTCCCCGCTTGCTGGACCATCCAGTGTAGCCTTTGTAGCTCACTAGACGCTTCAATCCTTCCCCTCGCCGCCCAACATGGCGATTTCTTTGTCCAATTTCCTCGTTTCACTGCTACTTCTCGGTTCGACTGCTCAGGCTGCGACTGTCACATACGACTTCGATGTAGCATGGACATATGCGAATCCAGATGGACAGTTTAATCGCCCAACCATTGGAATCAACGGACAATGGCCCATCCCAGCTATTGTAGCAACAAAAGGCGACCAGGTCATTGTCAATGTCAAGAACTCGCTGGGAAACCAGTCGACCAGTTTGCATTTTCATGGTTTGTTTATGAATGGCACGACGCATATGGATGGCGTGGTTGGAGGCACCCAGTGCGGGATCCCTCCAGGTAGCTCTTTTACGTATAATTTCACAGTAAGTACTGGCTTTACGAGGGAGATGATCTAGGACTGATCACTACAGGTTAATCAACCAGGAACATACTGGTACCACAGCCATGAGCGTGGCCAGTATCCTGACGGTCTCCGCGGACCGCTCATCGTGCATGATCCAGAAAATCCACACAAGGACCTTTATGACAAGGAAGTTGTAGTAACACTATCTGACTGGTAAGCAAAGCCATTGAAATATGATCGTCGAACAAGAATGACTGACCAAGTACAATCATACTTGCAGGTACCATGACTCTATGCACAACCTTCTCGCAAGCTTCATCAGCATTGCCAATCCCTCGGGCGCAGAACCCGTGCCTCAGGCAGCTCTGCTCAACGACACTCAAAATCTGACTGTTAGCATTGAGCCTGGCAAAACATATCTCTTCCGCATGGTCAACATGGGCGCTTTTGCCGCCCAGTACGTCTGGTTCGAGGAGCACACAATGCGCGTTGTTGAAGTCGACGGCGTGTACACTGAGCCTATGGACGCAGACATGATTTACCTAACTGCTGCTCAACGCTACAGCGTGCTCGTCACTGCCAAGAATGATACATTATCCAACTTTGCCTTTGTCGGCAGCATGGACGAGGACCTGTTCGACACGGTGCCCGAAGGGCTGAATCCCAATGTTACGGGGTGGCTTGTATATGACGACAAGAAGGAACTACCAGCTCCGAAAGATGTAGATGCTTTTGAACCGTTTGACGATTTCAAACTCGTGCCTTGGGATAAGGAAGGAGCATTCGATCATGTCGATCAGTCCATTACGCTCGATGTGAAGATGGACAACTTGAACGACGGAGCAAACTAGTAAGTTTTCTTCACCGTGTTTCCAATATCAAATAACTAACATATAACCAGTGCCTTCTTCAACGACGTAACCTACGTCAGCCCCAAAGTCCCCACTCTCTACACTGTCCTCTCCACCGGCCCCAACGCCACCGACCCTATAATCTACGGCAGCAACACCAACGCCTTCATTCTCGCCCAAAACCAAGTCGTAGAAATCATCCTAAACAACATGGATCCGGGAAAGTAAGTAATCCCTCCCCTTCCCAAAGAAACATACCTAACAACTCCAAACAGACACCCTTTCCACCTCCACGGCCACACCTTCCAAGTCCTCGAGCGCAGCGACGCAGAAGCCGGATCCTACAACACCTCCTCCCCATCCCCATCCCTGGCAAACCCCACCCCAATGCGCCGCGACACCATCCTCGTCCGTCCAAACGGGCACCTCGTCCTGCGCTTCCGCTCCGACAACCCCGGCGTCTGGCTCTTTCACTGCCACATCGAATGGCACGTCGCCTCCGGTCTCACCGCCACCATCATCGAAGCCCCGCTCTCCGTCCAGCGCCAGCTCGACGGCAAGATACCGCAGGATCACTGGGATGTATGTCGTGCCGCGCAAGTACCGACGCAAGGGAATGCGGCGGGGAATACAAAGAACCTGGAGGATTTGAGCGGCGAGAATAAGAGTCCGGGGAGGTTGCCGGACGGGTTTACCGGGAGGGGTATTGCGGCGTTGGTGATGAGTGTGGTTAGTGCGTTTTTGGGCATTGCGGTTATCGGGTGGTATGGGATGAAACCTGTTGGGGGGAGGTAAAAGGGGACATGTATACCAAAGAAAAAGGTTAGGGGAAAGATAAATGGATCCCTAGGTGGAAAGTGAATGATTTGAAAAAAAAAGGGATAGTATATTGAATCCATCTCTTACGTTAGTTTTGAAACTAATTTTTTTTTATATAGTTGAATATGCGGCGTAATTGATTGATACAACGAAATCACTCCTCATCCCAGTAATAACTCCACATATCCGTCCCAAACAGCGCATCCGCATAACTCTTCCCCTTTGTCGTGCCCGCGGCCCCCGCACAAACAATCAGGGGCAAAAAGTGCTCAGCGCCGCCATTCGGATGCATAGTATACGCATGTGGCCATTTCCTCCACTGGAGAAACTTCCCCTCGCGCTTCGCATCATCATCCGTCATCGCCGCATCCGTAACGCTCTTACTCCACTCCGCCGTCTGCGCCTGCAGCTCCGGATTGCGCAGCTGACCGAACAAGCGCAAGTTGTGGAAGGTAGCGAAGCCGGAACCGACAATGGCAATGTTTTGGGCGCGTAGAGTGGACAGCGCGCGGCCGATGGCGTAGGATTGTGCGGCTGACTCGGAGGAAAGGACTGAGAGTTGGACTATGGGGGCTGAGGCCGAGGGGTCGATGAGTTTCATGGGGACGAAGACGCCGTGGTCCCATGCTGTTTTTTTTTGGTTCGTTCGTCAGTCCCAAAATTGTAACTTTCAATATGCAAGAAAGAGGATGGAGAGGGAGAATAACTTACGTCGCTTGGGGTCTTTTTCGCACTCGATGCCTGCTTCGCTGAGGGCATTGGCGACTTGATCTGCCACCTCTGGACTACCGGGCGCATCGTGCTTGATTTGGTAGGATTCGGGTGGGAAGCCGTAGTAGTCGTAGAGCAACTCGTGTGTGGAGCCGCTGGAGATGGTGACCTTTGTTGTGGACCAGTGGGCTGTAACTAGTACGATTGCTTTGGGTGCGTCTGGCGTGCCCAGCTTGAGGATTTTGGGTACCCGTGTCTTGAGCGAGTTGGTAATGGCTGTATGCGATGGGTCTCCGAGAAGCGGCATGGGGCCTCCGCCGTGGGAGACGGAAATCACAGGTGCAAGACGCGTCATGTTGCCGGCAAAGGATGATATGGAATCTTGTTGTATGCCTTGGAGAGGATTGAATGTTGCGTTGCTAGAAGAAGAGGGCTGTTGCGCAGAGGTTCGCTGTATGCCAAGTAGGGTGGTGATTAGGGAAGATGCGCGACGAAATGGTTTCATGTCAGCTGTAGCAAGGGTGGAAGGAGAAGCCGAAGCTGATATATATGCAGGTCCGGACGAATCGAAAGCATTGTGGCTTCGGCATTTATCGCACAGCGAATGAAGCTACTCGACGTCTCAGATGTGTGTTTGTAAGATGACTTGTGAGTGCGGAATCGGACCGCTCCTACTTGATGGCGCGATGTCACGTGTCAGGGTCACGTCAAGTATGTAGTGTACACAGCATAGAGGGATCCAAACAGTCGTAGCATTGCACCATCGTGGGGGTCTATGTTATCATCAAGGTCGATGTTTGAATTTGATAAGAAAAGAGAGGGGAGATGCTACCAGGAACAGTAGGTAATACAACTCGACGACTTTCTCAGTGAAGAAGACGCCGGACGCGCCACAGCGTCGATACAGTCTAGCTGGATTTTGCCTTTGGACTCACAATAGGGGAGAGGTGGATCGAGTGCCAAAAACGTCAGCGACGCCATTCCCAGTGCCGTCTTGCCACATTTTTGCACTCGCAGAGAAAGCCCGTCTCACTTCTCTATCCGCCTCGTTCAAAGTGTCGCTCGACAAAGGTTTTGGCTGTGTGTTGACATAGTTGTTGCCACTGCTGCTTTCCTTCTGCCTAGACATGTTGGGAGACTCGGGGCCCAGCCATGCCGTCATATGATGGTTTTGTAGTGCCAACATTGTCCGTATGTCTTCGCGCAGATCTTGCTGATTTTTAGAATACTGGTATATTTGGAGAAGAGATGTGAGGAGCAATGTGTGTTCGATTAGACGGTGGATGTTGACATTTGACTGGACACTTGTTCTAGGAAAATCTTGCACATGTTCGACGACTTTTCTGCGGAGGGCTTCTTCGTTCTGAGGAGGAACTATGAGGTTCGGGATCATCGGAGGTCGAAACTGATGGTATGGAGCGTAGGATACTGGAAAGCTGGGTCGGATCTGTTGATATGCGAATGTCTGCATTGGAACAGACTGTTGTGTCGGGAAAGGAACGCCAAATGGGCCATGTACCGGAAACGAATAAGGAGTAAGGTGTGACGCAGCAACCGCTCTTGAATTCATCATTCGGTAGATGTCGTGACTTTGGTGGTTGTTTCGCGTGCTTTCGTTAAAAGGCATATTCGTCAATCTCGGCCCCTGAGCACCGTAGCTGTATGAATCCTTTCGCCTGTTCTCTATGGACCTGTGAGGCTCCGATGGTTGTTCACCTCGATTCTTCCGTTTCGGTTCAAGTATTATTGGACGAGGAGGTGACGAGCCCTCGTTGACAACAATCGGGTCATGACAACTACCGCTCATGCTGGCAAAAGGCTTCGGAGCTAGTCTTCGCAAAGCAGAAGAGAGGGTTCGATTAGGAATGTTGGGTGAGAGATTCTTTGCTTTGGACCTTTTCGTGGTCGCAACTGTCGACGTGTGATCGGTGATCGGTGAAGTGAGATTGATATCATCACTGACATTTCCGGAGAGCACCGGTGAAGGTGGAATGCTGGGTGATTTCGGGATCTCGACTGCGGTTTTGGCCTTTTTTCTACAAGGTTCTTGAACATGGATGGTATCGCTAGCCTGTTCAGTGACTTTGGGCTTATTAGTACTAGCAACTATACGGTTTGCGTTTGCAGTGCTCCGTCGAGTGGAGACCATGTTGTGTCGAAGTTCGTCCAGGCCGCCCAAACTGTATGAGATGAAATCAAGACTTTATCTCTCAATCTGTTTCTGGAATTACAATAGTAAGTACCGCACCTGGTCAGGTTGGATACGATCCTTTCGTGCGCTATGTTCTAGTGTTGCTTTGCTGGTGAGCAGACGTAACTCTCAAACAAGATAGTAAATAGAATGGAGAGAAGGATGGTTATGGTCGTAAACAGAGCTGTGATGTTGCCTATGTGTGTATAGAAGGCGCGAGGTTTATAGGAAAGGACATCCATTATAAGAGGAAGGCGCAACTCGCATATGAACAGCAATCTTGGAGACAAACGCATAGCTATTACTGCAACTCAGAGACATGTAGAAGGTAAAAAAAGCCTTGTTGAGCAAAATTAGTGCCGAAATAAAGAAGAATAGAAATGTAGAGAAGAAAGCAAATCGTGATGCTTCCAGTCTCACCCCTGAGATACTCCGAAACAACCTCTTTCCACTCAATCCGCATCCAGAAAAGCACGAAGCTTCACCAACTCTTCCTGATCGCAAATCTCACTAACAACGCGATCAATAGCTCCATCATCCCACGCGATACCATGCCAGAGCAACACGCCTATATCCCGCATCGTCCTTACTTCATCTTCGCGTGCCTTGAGACCCGGTGCAGCTGCGAACAAGTGCTCCCAGAACGCCTCTCGAAGCCTTGCCGCTCCCTCAAAGTAAACCCATGCAGATTTTGCGCTCGAAGAATCTCGTTCGTAATACCCGAGCAAATGCTCAAGTCCATACAGACACGTTCCAAAGGGCAAAAACTCTGCTTCAGCCCAGTCGACCAGGCCAGTCATCCCCCACCGATCCTCATCGATGAGAATGTTGGATGGTATGAGGTCGCCGTGATTTAGAATGATGGGGTAGTCTGTTATCTTTTGGATAGCTGAAAGTGTGCTTCCCGCTCTTTCTCTCAAGTATGCGTCGGGTAGCTCTGCAGCCAGTTTCCCGAGTCGATAGATGATGCTTGAGCCGACTTTGCCGCGACACTGTGAGAGTATATCTGGTGTATCTTCCATTGGCGAGTCAGCTCGCATAGTTCTGGGCGTTGGTAAGGTTTGCGCTTTCGACGCGCACTGCCAGCCTTGTGCTATGAATTTGGCAAAGCTCAAGACTAATGTCTCTAGTTGTGCTTGCTCTTTTGAAGCCAGGGTACGTGCGCGCGGCATCAGACGACTGAGAGATGTGCCGGAAATTCTGTCCATCTCGTAAGCCTTCAGGCCTCCAGGTAGCCGTACGTCCAGGAGTGCGACGGTTGGTGCCAGTGATGGATAAGTCTTGGTTGCGACGTGCATAATGTCGAGATCAAGTGCGTGAGGCGCAGGCCGGAGCTGAACGATCAACTCACTTATTGTTCTACGTTCTTCAAATTCCTCTGCTAGGTCTTTATCCACAACCGCGTTGCGCTTCTTGTTGCTCAAAGGCGCAACCACCAACGTGCAACTGCAATATCCCTGCTGTTCCAACTCTTTCACCTCATACCCTACATACACATTCTGTACAACTCTCATACATGACCTTCCATCATCGTCCCTCAGATTGAAGCGTCCCCAGAAGCCTTGAGCTGACATGGTTACTTGGACATAATCAATATTGAGATGTAGACATAAGAGGGATCAAGCCATGGCGGACGATGAGTGCCGCGCAACTCATCCCGTGCTGCATTATTGATGACGGGTAGTCGCAAGCCTATTCGCTACACATGTCCAAGAATATGACTACATGGTGTGTCGTACTTTGCTGTGGTTCGCCGAGATGCCGCACGTGGCAGTCGGGCGTGGGAGGGATGAAGGTTAGACGGAACGGGGGCGTGGTGTGCATCGGCTTGCCGTGTAAGCATGGCCGGGTGGGATCCTCAGCAAAAGGCGCAGCTAACTACTAACGTCAATCCAAGTGTGCCGGGACGCACGGTGTAACGGGACACTTTCTCTTCCGGACCTTCGGATTTCTCTAAGCGTTCTCGAATACAAATAAATACAACACATATCTATTCTACAGGCCTTACTCTCTTAGCAAGTCAATCTCCGACGCCAAAAAACGTGTCGTCAACCGTGCTGTCGCTCCCTCTATTAACGTTGTCCCTAGACTCTCCTCTAACACGCCCTTATCTGTTTGCGATGGTACATATTTGCGAAAAACTCGGTAGGCTAGAGAGAAAGCCGAAAGAGCAAAGATTAAGACTGCTGCTACGTAAGGTCAACTTAGAGTACCCTAAGCTCTGAATATCAATAGTGCCTATTTCGGTGTAGAGGTAAGAGCTAGTAGGTAAGGTGATAGAATCGCTGTGGCCCTCGAGCATCTATAGACACGTGCCGATGCTCGTATCCCATATCTTAATAGTTCTATCGTAGGACGCCGACGCCAGCCGCGTCGAGTCGGGCGAGAAGGCCACTAAGAAGACCTTATGGCTATAGCCCTTAAGCGTCTGTAGACACGCGCTCCACTCCTCGCTTAGAGTTGGCCTAGTAATACTAATTGCTTCTAGCTCTTCATGCTGGAATAGCTGTCTAATCAGACTACCTGTCGGGCTGGACAAACTGCCAGCTTTTGTCTGTTCTGCTGATACATCTGATAAATATACATAGCACTTGGTCGCATTTTGGTACTAGCGGAACATAGACTAGATAGCTGAAAAGAGCTTAGCCTTATCCGACTTGTCGATGTAGTATATATTAACCTAGAAGTACTGTAATCTATCTTACTATGCTTACTCCCTATAGAAGCGAATCTTTTTGTAGCTAGGCTTGTATATGCTGCCGCCTTCTGTAAGATCTGTAAAAGTTACCTTCTCTATATCTACTCCCTAGGTATGTAAAAGTATCGCATATTAGGGTATCGCGTTATCGTCGAAGCTAGTAATAGTAAGGCGGCTATCGTCTTTGTACCTTAGAAGACGCATCGACTCGTATGGGTGTGTGGTGGGCACGCAGTGTGAACGAGACGCGAGAGGTTTGATGTGGTAGCCTAGTAGGACGAGGGCGTGGTGGCCGTATTATGCGCTGTAGAGGTTGGCGTAAAAGGAGGGGAATAGATAGCCGTGCAGCTCTAGATGTCTTGGTGGTAGAACAGCCTTCTCAAATGCGCGAGCTGAGTCGAGCGCGCTGTGTGGGTTTCTTGGGATGGCGACGGCATCGCACGAGGCCTTGGGAGGGGTAATTGTGGCTTCATGCGCATGTAGAACGCGTCTTTAGCGTTGCGAGCTTAACAGGGTAGCAAAGATCCGAAGCGCGTTAATGTTGCCTAGCCTAGTATACCAACATAGGACGGAAAAGATGAACCTAAGCGTAGAGACTTCTTGAAAGCCGCCACGCGCGACGGCTATTCTTAGCAGGTGAGCTGCTACGGGTATAGCGTCGAATTCGTTACGATACTATACGGCAACATCTGAGCACGCTATTGCGCGCAGCCTGCATGCTAAGAGACGCTAGAGAGGGGCGACACGCTGGAACGCTTTTGGCTGTCATCGTTTTCATCGGCGAAACTGCCGGACTGTATACTTCTTAGGTTAAGATATCCTTTAAATCTCTAGAATACCTTCTTTAAGAACTCTACTTTCTAATAGACCCTCCGATCTTTATATACGTCCTTTATATTACGAGAAGACAAGGGAGTATTAACGAAAGGTCGATCAGCAGCGTTAACAAAACGATCGATAGTAAGGCTAACATTACGAAAATTCGTGCCGAAGACTAATACTATAGAAGGGAACCAGCTCTAGAACATTAACTTGCCGACTATAGGTTGACAATTCTGCAAATGAGAGATAGCGAGACTTCAAAGCAAAAACCGTCCCGTTACACCGTGCGTCCCGGCATGCTTGGATTGACATTACTCATAGAACGCTTATATTCAGAAATATCGGGTATGAAGGCTGGTAGAGTACTGAATACAGTACATTTGTCTTATATTAATTGCTATATGCATTCGATCAATCGAACAAAAAAAACGCCTCCCCAAATCTGAGTCCTTTTACCAAAGCCAGCTCAGTTATCAGAAGAATGGTATCATATGTGCCGTCAACTATCTCAAAATCCGCCCGCAAGACTTGTACTCTGTTTACAATGAAGCAAAGGCAACTGCAACAAAAGCAGCAGCAACGCTGACGAAGGATTGTGTGCTGAGGCCAGAGGCGTTGCTGGTAGTAGTCTGGGGAGGTGAGGCACCGGTTCCGCTTCCGCTTCCAGCTCCGGCACCAGCTCCAGCACCAGCTCCATTTCCGCCAGCAGCACCTCCTTGTCCATTGCCAGAGTCGGCGCCGTTTCCAGCAGATGGTGAGGTGGGTGTATTGCCAGTAATGCCACCGGATCCAGCAGGTTGGCCAGGAGACAGGTTCTCCGAGGCTTGAGCAGCAAGGGCAGTGAATGCTTGGATGGTCTTGTTACCGGCTGCGGGTCTATTTGATATAGTCAGTTTCTGCCTCAAAACGTATTGAATTACAGAGAGGTGGTTGACTTACGCGTTGATGGCTCCAACCATACCATTCTGGCAATGCTTGCCCTGAGAACAGTAGAACCAGATGGGCTTCGCGTCGGGAACACGAATAGTGTAGGTCAGGACCTGGTTCGTTGCGGTGAAGGAAGCGTTGGTAGGCATGAAACCAGAGAAGAAGGCGTCGGTCTTGTTGGGCATGACGTTTTGGATGGGTATGCAAGGGTTGTCGAAGGTGGATTGGACGACGGAATGATTCTATTGGAATGATTAGCTCAAGGACACAACCAGGCGCAGAAAACGGCGACTAGGCATACCTTTGGGTGGAACTGGAACTGAACCATGTCGCCTGGCTGAGCCGCGATATTGTTTGGGTAAAAGGCCAAAGAGCCATTGGGTCCGCCGACCTGGACAACGTGCATTCTGAGCATTCCTCCTTGAGCGGCGGCGAGACCGAAAATGGCCGAAACGATAGCTGTTGTTGAGAAGTACATATTGAATAACTGTGGCTTTATTCTTTTCTTTCAAAAGGCGACTCGAGTATTAAATGAGCGATTGTGTTTGTAGTATTGAAAGTCTCGTCAAGAGAGTGCAAAGGCGACTAGCGCTCTGAAGTTCGTCAAAGTAACCGTTGGACTAGCCAACAGGTGTATTAGGAGATAAGGGTGAAAGACCGTGAGGTTTGGAGAAGAAAAGAAGATGCAAAGGAAACCCGCAACAAAGTAAGGAGAAAACGTGGGATGCAGGAGTGAAAAAGAGAAGCCTGAAGTGACGGCCCGGGGCCGTCTTAAGGCATGAAAGGTTTGCCATGCGTTGGCACGGCGGTTAACAGGTTTTCCGTTACATGGGGTTGGGGTTGCGACAGGTTGGAGGCGCAGAGTGCTTCAGCCTCTCGATTCAGTACAAACCCTGCAAAATGAGGCTTAACAGAAGGATCATTAAGGATAGCTCGTACTTGAGCCGACAAGACTGATTCTAATTGTTCTTACGCACCAGGGAACACATAGAGCTGGAGCGACCATGCGCTACGAATATTGAGTTGTATGCACTTGACGAGCCATTGTGTGGTGTAAACCATGTTGTGACGCTGTTGTTCGAAGAGTTGGTGCCGGGGTGTGGACGATGCGACACGCTCCACGTTCCGTGCGTGTTTGAGCCCTGTCATGTTATGCTTCAGGCTGCGCGTCGCAACGGCAATCATTAAACCGACTAGGCTAAGCAGCCGGAACTTCTGTTTGCGAGATTGCACCACAGCACTTGTTCTTGGCCATGTGGACAATGGCGTTGGAGAAGATGTTGGGATTGAGGAAGTACGGCCAGATGTTTCAAACACGTCAAAATGTTGGATCCTTTATTCGCTTGCTGGTCGTTTCAGTCTTGTATCGACTCTACAGAGGGAGATGACTGCACATGGCTGTGGCTATCATTATGAATGCATGCCTTGGTCTGATGGCGTAGCCGCTGCCGAGTGGTGAATTGCGTGGTACCTCTAATGCGACGACTCCATTTTCGCGCCATATTTAGACGAGCTGCAGAGCCGCGAGCGCTCCTTGTATCCAATGAATCCAAACAAATCTTGTCATGGAAGGAAGGAAGGAAAGGCTTCCGAGTCTGCACATGCACATGGGCAGGCCTCGGGCTACTCATGGCGATAATATCACAAGCTCGCCATGGCTGCTGATCCTGGCTATTCAAGTATGTTTTACGGATATGTTGCGGCACCAAACCACGTAGGTCTTTATAACAAACCAGCCGGCTGCTCAAAAGTCGAGCACAAGCTGTGGTGCCAACTTCTCCAAGTCCTCGACTTGTAAGAAGCCATCGACAAGACCGCCGTTCTTGGCTGTCGTTTTTCTTTCGTCCTTGCTCCTCAAGAAGGCCTCTGTGACGAAGATGTCAATGTACTTGCCCACAAGCTTCATTGCGCCCGTCTGTATCTGCATATCGGGATCCTCAAAGTTTTCGAGGAGCAGACGCGCGAGCAGCGGCCGAGGTACGACGGGGTCAGACAAGGTCGTCTTGGCTGGCGGGGGCTTTGAGCGAGCTGGTGCAGTCGCAGGCCCGACGTCTTCCATTATGGAGTCGAAGTCGTCGCTATCAATTTGATCTATGGGTTCTTCAGGCGCGTCGTCGTCAGAAAGATCGATGACGTCAGTTGCTGGCTGAAAGGCATTCTTTTTGTTTGCAGCGGCAGTTGCGCGGGATGCCACTGGTGCAGGAGCGCGTTTTGCAGTGGTGGAAGAGGAGGCTTGGGGAGCGGCGTTGACAGGACGCGGGGGATTGAAGGCAGGACCTTTTCTTCGCGCAGCATTGGCTCCGGCAGCTTTTGGAGGCATGATGGATGTTACTGAGGCCTCAATCAGGTTAGGGAGGAGGGGGGCCGGTCGATTAGGGTGGGCAGTGCGATGGCGCGTGTTGATGATGCGGCCAAAGCCAAAGCCAAAGACGATGGGCACGCGCTCTCACGTGCACATGACCTGTGCTACACAACACTAGTACCGCGACGTCATCGATTATGTTAGGAAGACTACGACTTTGATGGATATATTCCTTGTGACGTGCAAAACGGCCGATATACTTGCATGGCGCTACCGGGCGTAAGAGTCAGCGGGGTGTGATCTATTGTGCCGATGGTGCCGACGTTGCCGCAATCATGCGTGTAGGTGTTGTGTTGTACTTGATACGTACACAAGTTTGTGCGTGTAGTTTCTACCGTTTTACCGTCGCTCCATACATACATGGTACATGGCCGGGAACATGGGCTGATGGATCCAGTAAGGCGTACAAGAATATATAGAACCAACCCCTGCCCTCAGCCTACGACCAATCTGCTTTTGAAAGCTTGATCGCAAATCACGATTCCACCAAACGGGCCGCACGGTCGCGGCGTTCAACTTGTATTGGCAAAGCCGGTAAAGTTAAATGAACAGCTGCACGAGTGCTACAAGTGGTCAGCATGGCACCATGGGCAACTGCACCGTGCGACGAGGCGAGCAGCGGCGTGCCATGGTGGGGAGAATGGGTGCAGAGGCGTGGTTTCAGAGAAACAAAGACAGGCAGGCGTAGACACAGGGTGGTACATGAGATTGCATTGCAAAGGGCAGAGTTGCACAGCACTGGCAGCAGACGATTCAAAGGGTCCTGGGGTGCAGGGCGCCTGACACGTCGCACACAGATGGGCGTGTAACCGACGGGCGTGTGGCAGCATCAGCAGAAGCGCGCAGAAGCGCAGAGGCAGATTTGCAGCCAAAGGGGCAATTTGGATGATTGCTTGTACGCTCTTGGTGGCTTAGCGCTGGCTTGTCTAGTTTTTTTTGAGCATGTCACTTTGGCCAGCCGAGCTGGAGGCGCAGATGAGCCGGCAGCGGGTGGATGCAGCGGCTCGCTATCTGCGGTGGGATGTCGGTGTAGTTGTGTGTAGGATTGGATGTGGGATGCCTATGTAGCTATTCATGGTATGCATGGCGAGCGAGTGGCGGACATGGTGCTGGATGCGGAAGGGCAGCAGGCTGAAAGCGGCATACGGTGGGCTCTGGTGGGTCAGGGTAGACGACGTCGCGGTCTGGTGGCTGCCGAGGGGCAACATCTAGACATTTGGAGTGTGGACGCCTCGACGTCTGGCCCTGTTCAGATTGTCGACGTGTGGGCGGCGTGGTTACGACGACGGCGGTGCACACAGGCTGGGCCGGGTGAGGTGGGGTAGCAGAACCGGCCCCCAATGTAGGTAAGTAGTCTTTTCTTTACTTTATTCTATGGCGCCTTAAACTAGCAGCCCGCGCCGGGCGACTGGTGGTGCGTGGTCGTGCAGGCAAGACAACAACAATAACAACAAGTACGAGCGAGTGTGTGTGTGTCGACATTGATCTCTCAGCCGTAGACGATGGTGGCTGACTGTGTAGGCGCGGTGAGGGCAAAGCGCGGTGAGGGCAGAGAGTAAGAGGGGATGCAAGGCACATTGGCATGCCCAGTAGCGACATTGTGGCTTGCTGAGAGGTTGCGGCCCTTTGTGTGCGCGCCCAGAGCCAGAGGCTTCATGGGTGATGATGGCGAGGCAGAATGCAGCCAGTCCAGTGCCGGGGTGATGATCAGCCCAGTCCCACATCAGATGGCTTGCTCTTACATACTCTACCGCCTACAAACTAGCTCCCTCTTGCTAATGCTCATCTCATCCTCACACACACCCCCCAGCTCCAACCCCAAAGCTTGCCGGCGCCAGGCCCGCGCGCTGGTGCTGCTCCCACACACCCCTGTCCATGTATCCGATAGTAGTGTGGCATGCGGCGAGCCCGTCAACCCAGACGCCTACCCAAGTAGGCCGTCGTATATCATACACTGGCTCGCCATAAATCTGTTCTCCTCACGCTGCCACTGCCGCCCCGGCAACCTTGCTGTCTTTTTTTCTCTTCTCCTCCCCCACCCCCCTCACCTGCCCACTGCCCGCCCTCGCCTTCGCCTTCACCCTCACCCACAGCCACTGCAGGGACCGCCCCATCACTGTCACCACTGACATTACTGGCACAACTGGTACCACGACCACCACTACCGTCACCGTCGTCAATACCCGTTTCGACTCTCGGACCGCCCTCTTCTCTATCGCACAGAAACATCAAAAGACGAGCGTTTGCTGGCCGCCCCGCCCTCTTGCAGCCTTTATCTATCTCTGGACCAATCCCGTCTATCTCGACTCTTGGCTGTCCACTCGCGGCTCCCCAGGCAAACATTGCACCTGCCCATCTTCTCCCTCTCTGCCATGCCTCACTCAGCCAATAATTCCACCTCCAGTCAGACCAAGATGTCGCGGCCCTCATCCACTTCCACCCAATCCGCCACTGCGTTTCCCAAACAGGCTGGCGCCGCCCTACTGTCTCCCGACAACAACCCCGCCGGAGGCCCCCAGTCACCATCCGCTTCAAACTTCTCCTTTGCATCCTCGCCCCATTCCGTCATCGATGTTCCCGACAATTCGCGTCAATATCCACCACGAGACACGGCGCCTCATGCTCCTGGCTCCCTGCGACCCATGACCTCACGTGCCCGTGCCCAGTTCTACGAGAGTCAATTCGTCGACAGAGGCTCAGACATATCGTCTGCTCGCGATCGTGTCACCAAGGATGCCCCCATTGTAGCAGAGTTGCGGACAAATGTTATTGTATGTGCTCCATTTCCCCAGTTCCGCTCCGTTTGTACATGCACTAACCACCAACCTGGTGCAGATCAAAGATGAATACACCCTTGTCACTGACCTTTCACACCATCTCTCCACGCGCTACCAAAGACCCGAGACATCCATCATGATTACCGTCAACCATTCAGCATGCCTGCTCCTTGGTGGGTCCTTTGAGCCCACTTACGTCCTCACCATCAATGCCTTGCCCGTTCAAGTGCAGCCCACGACCAACAAGCGCAATGCCGCTTTGATCCAGACATTCATGGCCGAGTCCATTGGCGTTCCATCAGATCGAGGTATTATCAAATTCGTGCCCATTCCCGAAGACAGCCTGGCTACAAACGGCATGACCATCTTGGGCGAGATCGAGCGGCTAGAGCGCCAGCACGCCGAAGAGAATGGTGGTAGCATTGTCAAGCGTGCCACGACCAAGAGCTCCCGCAAATCCGCCATGACCAAGGCCAAGAGTAGCATGCAGCTTTCCCGCGGACAATCCAAGGCAGAGCCAGTGCCAAAACCAGTCGCCGCCGCGGATGTTCCACGTGATGGTCCAATCGATTCTGCGGTAGCCATCAATGACTCGAGCGTCGCCCAGAGGCCTATAAGCAAGATGAGCCACAAAAGCAAAATGAGCACCAAAAAGTCTGAGCCAATTCTTTCCGTTTTCGCCAAAAGCACAACCATGCACACGAACCTGCCGCCGGCGCCACCCATCCCAGATGACAGGCCAATGACCCCAAGTATCAGCAAGCGTCACAGCTTCATGAAGGTTTTCCGTCGATGAGACATAATCACCCACCCTGTACACCGTTGTATACGCTGATCTCAGCATTTATCCATTTTTGCATTTCGCATAGCACACAGACGCTGCATAGTGCGACAAAGGTTGCATTGTAAGGCGTTTGGGATTGGACCTTTTGGATAGCAGCTTCATTACTCACCACACTGATATACCCTTTTTTCATTTCCTTTGTTCAGAAGGCTCAACAGAGCAGGGCGCCAAATAGATGCCCCAATGGCAAAAACATTTCATTTCACACATCATCCTGCATCGCGATTGTCATAGTGCTTATTCCAAATTACCGATGGTTCAGTCAGAACTCAGCTAAGATGAGGGGTTCACAGAACCTAATATCATTGCTTACGGTATTGCGTGGCATTCCGGTGTAGTTGCGAATGCGAAATCTCAGCTCGGAAAGTCATTCATGCAGCTCTCAATGTCGCCTTTCCTGCCCGATTCATCCATCGTTTGTGGCTGCCACTAGACTACTGTAAACAACGTAGGCACGCGCTACCAACGGATTGTCCGTCAATCATTTTTTCCCTGGTCTCTAGCAAGCGAAGCCTACGCTACGCTAAGTACGTGGACCAGCCATGGTCTTTCGGGTACCCAGCCTTGATCTCATACCAGCAGTCGATTGACTCGGACGCGCACACGCACGCGCCGTGTGGCGTTCAGCCTCAGCGCGCAAGTCCGGACACGCAGCTCACATATACACACACGCCCAGCGGTCGTTGTTATACTGTCTACTATTCTCCATGCACGGACCATTTCTGCTCATTATCAGCATCTGTGTAGCCGCCCTTTGTCTTTCTTCTTCCTCTTTCACATTTGAAACACGCATTTTGGATGCACATACTTTCACCGCTGTCACAAACTTTCTTTTGGAAAAATAAGAAACAGCATAGGAAAACAAGCGAACTTGAGGCACGGCAGGAACACCAGTGTTTGACTCTGCGGACAAAGCTCCTTAAGCGAGACATTGCGCTCGGCCGTAGCTAAAGGCGGCATTGTCGCGTGGCATATCCCTGATTCGCTAGGCTACAATCATTTCACTCCCCCTTTTCTTCTTCCACGTCTTACTAATCGGTGTAAGGGTTGGCGGGGTTATGAGTCGACATGTTTTTCAAAGTGATGGAGCTAGAGAAAAGATTCAATAGAACTGGGATAGACATGTCTTTTTCTCAACGTGCGCCAACTGCAGCTGGAGGACACGAGAATAGACGCTGTTAGCGCAGGAAAATGAACTCCAATGTGAGTGGTGGGGGGGAAGAGGCCGAGCGAGAAAAGAAGAAAAGAAGCAGCCACTGGACCATGCTTTTCGGCTTCCAACGGCCTGACTGCTTTTTCAGACGTTCTTTTCCTTTCTTGTGGGTATGGGAAAGTGTATCAAGGCAAGGCTGGGTATCTCGATGTTAATCAAGAAGACTTGTCATGTGGTGAACACACATTCACATGTCAAATATGAAGTGTTTCTCTGTGAATTTACCAGCGCCATCAATAAGCCTCAGCCCCCAACAAACATATATTGGACCCTTGCTAATTCTCAGCAATGCCGGTAGTGCTGTGTTTTTTGTACCATACAGCAGCCACACTTTAACTAGTGGAACCTCTTTCTTCCCGTGGCAACCACCCGCACGCGAGCGAACCCCCCTCCTTTTGCTCGCCTGAACAAAAAAAAAGCAATCCCTCCCGGAACGCTCAAAGCTTGTACACATCTATTGAAAACTTAAAATACACGGTTGTGCAGAAAAAGAAAGCAACAAGCAGAGAGGCTAGAAGATTGTGCTTTTTGCAACTTGAATAGATGATATAAGCCAGGCAGTCTATGTTTTACATGTCATTATCGAATACAACAAAAAAAAGAGAGAATTATCTAATTTCCCCAATTTCCTCATGCAATATGCTTTGAAAAAAAGGTACTAAAAGCGGGAAACAAACGCACAAGATAACTGTTTGTTTCATGGATTTTTTTTTCGGGTTGGGAAAAGAGATCGGACGCAGGGTCACGGGAAGTATTAGTTTCATCTCAACAAAAATACCATATATGTACTACTGTCGATCTAGTTACAAAAAGTCGATTTACTACCGTGGAGGTAAACAAAAACATAGCAACGCTAGGAGAATGGAAATCGGAAGAAGTAAGAGGAAGAATATCATGCGAACTATCAATTTCTATACTCAAAAGCATACGCTAAACTAGACTAAACAAACAAATAAAACAACCAGTTCATCCCTACCTAAAATCTCCACTGTACACTCTTCCTCCCATCCTATATTTTAATCAACCCACGACCAACCCCCAGACATCCTCCCAACAACCTCATCCGTAAACTCTGGCAAACCCCCCAACTCCAAACTCCCCCTCCCCTCACACTCCTCCTGCACCCCCCTCCTCACCTCTCCCCAAACGCTCCCCACCAACCTCTCCCCCCTCGCCTCCACCACCTCCATAACCGCCGCCTTATTCTCCCTCGCCCTCAACATCGCAACCCCCTGCAACTCTTTCAACAACCCCGATTTAACTTTAAACCGGCGATTCCGCGGTACGCCGTGCATCGTCTTGTAGTAAAGCGCGAGCCAGGCTGCGAGGGGCGGCCAGGGAGAGAGGTTGTTGGAGGCGTTGGAGAGGGAGAGGGAGAGGGAGAGTGTGCCGAGTTCGGCGGTGAAGTCGGAGAGAGGGAGGTGGGACCAGCGGCGTCGGAGGTGGAGGAGACGGAGGGAGAGGATGTATTGGTGCGTGTAGAAGGGTAGGAGGGGGGTTGAGGAGGTGGGGGACAGAGAGGGGGAGTGGAGGAGGGAGGTTTTGTAGATTGAAGGGGGGAAGGGGTTGATTTGGGGTCTTTGTGCTGGAGCGGGGTTTGGAGGGAGGGGGGAAGGCGGGGAGGGAGAGAGGGATAGAGGAGGGGTTTCGTCTGGGATTTCTGCCCATGTTGGGAGGTCGGATTCTGGGATGGGTTGGAAGGTGTTGAAGGTGGGTTTGTAGAGGATTGGGGCGAAGGATTCGCTAGGGCCGGCTGGATCGTCCCATTCATATAGCTTGATGCATTCGATGCATGCGCAGAGGACGTCCTCGGTGGTTTGGCAGTCGGCATCTAGGTATTTGGCTCGGAGCTGCTCGTATTGCTCCGCTGGGATGTCATCAGTGTCTTTGAGATCCTTGTCTTCGTTGCCTACCTGTGCTTCGTCGTCGATTGGGACCCATTCCTCCATGTCTGCCATGATTGTGTCTTCACATGCTTGCATTTCCTCTGGGGAGGCAAGGGTGAGTTCTTCGAGTGTGTTCAATAGAGGTTCATACTCTATCTCCATCTCATCTAGAGGACTGGCTGGGCGGTTAGCAAAGCCGGCTCCTGTCAATGTCTGGTACAATCTAAGTGACACCTCGTCATTGTCACAGCATTCCATCATGGTTCCTGCTAGTTGTATTGAATGTATGTCGCTTTTGTTACGTATTCTGTATGTTTTGCTATTGATCTAGTGAAATTTGGTGCTAACTCGGGAAATTTCTATTTATCTCAAGTACGCGTGCACAGTGTTGCTCATCCGCAATAGCGATGTGAAGGGTAAACTATACCATGTTTTTACAATGTGTAATAGTTCACGGGTGCATTTTGAACAGCTAAATTCATACCAATGAAATGTGGTAAGGTCACTCCCTGGGTCCTGAGACGCACGGTGCGATGAGACAATTTTATAGAAAAGGTATCTTAACTCTATACTGTTTTAGAGCATACGACTGTCTTTAGTATATAATGATTCTAATACTTCTAGCTCTAGAATCCTACCTTTTTCCTGAAGTTCCTCTTTGCGATTGCCGTACAAGTCAACATTGTCAATCGCTCTCTTGATGGATACATCCTGTTTTCTCGCGCCAAGTAACATCTTCTACGTTTCCGCATATCAGAGGAAGTGATATTATAGTGATAATTTCTCCGATTGTTGAAATCCAAAAAAAAGTACAGCGATTCAACACGAAAGTTCCGTTGACGGCGGATTGATCCTTTTGACATCTTAGCAGTGCTGCATGTAGATAAGTGTATCGCAGATCTGCTTATATAGACACTGTATTGAATGGTGTTTGTTGTTCGCTTCAAGCCACCCTTCTGGAGTTGGCTATGGCCCATTGCTCCTTCTTTAGAAGATGCAATCACATGCTCTGTCTCTAGTATTCCTAGGGACGACTAGATTTATAAGTTACGGGGATCTTAAAAAAGCTCAAGAAAAGCGTAAGGAGAGAGACGCTGCCGAGGAGACTAAAAGTAAGGGAAAGCGAGGGCGGAAGTGCAAGAGTGCGCCAGGCGCTAATACGTCAGAAGCTGCGCCGAAGAGGGCGAAGGAAGTAGGACCAAGTGAAGTAATAGAGTCAGAAGGCATTCCAGTAGCGAAAATGTGACAAGATAATTTCAGGTAGTTGCAAACTGATAGTAATTAGAAGCCAACCCAACGTAAGCAATTAGTGCCTTGAGGAACGGAGGACTTCTATGGCCCCAAAACCCAAAACAGGAAAACCGCTGGACGTAGCCACGAAAAGGTACGGTGCCGCGATGATTACGCCGTGAGGCCTGCACTATGATATCACGTATCCATCCTCCCCCCTTCGTTCCTCAAGGCTCCTTTAACGACCGGTGCCGGGCTCCCGGTTGCGCTTCCTATATCAGGTGATAAGTGGCCTAGCCACAGGCTGTTTGCTTCATGAGCTAACTAGATGATATAAGCAAGATAAAATATGACTATGACTCTCTAGAATACTAGCTATATCCGGAAGCTCTTCGAATTGGAAGTATCTACCATGGTAGTACGATCGCATGAATCACCACGCTACGCCAACAATTTGGGCGATAATAGGTTTTTAGTATTAGCTCCCATCCGAAAGGATCGTATAAAACCTCTCATATATCTTTCCAGGATGTTATGGCCTGATGCAATAGGGTACTAAAAGGTTGTAGTTTTGCGCGAAAAAAGGTTCCGCTTGTATTAGGCAATAGACCATGCCTTAAACCGTTTTCCCTAAATAAAATAAGGTGGAAAGTGTCTTGAGAAGGTACAGGAATTATTCCGAGAGAGTCATAGTAAAGTTCAGCTACGTAAAAAGAGACACAACCTCCTCAAGTGATAGTACCAGGATTTTATCTCATCACACCGGGTGTCTCACGGCCTAGGATCAACCTTATTATGGTTGGTAATTGCTATTGGATTGCAATGTTCTGCTCTATATTTACCAGCTAGAAAATGACGATATAGTTGACCCTGTATATGCATAAGGCAAGGTTCTGGAGTTTAGCTCAACCAGTACACTGCGACTGAATCACACGTCCAATGGCATTGGCCGAGTCCTTGTCATATCTCATGTGAAATGATTTCGTATAGTCTACTATAAAGAACACAAATAAGGTCTGGCCCCTTGTGATGGTTGTTGTCGTGCCGCAACCCTTTGTGGGACCCTGATGCATAGTGATGTCATGCCGCTGCACTAAGAGTTTTCACCCGCAGAGCCTCCCTACACCCTAGTCAGACGATCGCGGACATCCAGGCCGTATCAGAACACCATGCACATTCAACACCTCAGGATGATTGATCAACACATACTGTGCTGCTCAGATGTTGTTCAAACACCCAAATCCCCAGCAGTTTCTGGATCAGTAAATTGTCTGCAAGATCGCGATGCACTCAAGCAACCCAAGGTTTGCCGAGCGAATTCACTAGTTGCTTGGGAATCCACGAACTCTTGAGCTCCAGACCCACTCAACCCATCTTTATCTTGAGCCGCATGTAGATCTGTCGTTGTTTTGTCGTCGGCTGCGTGCGTGCGTGCCGGTAGGGAAAGTGGAGCAAGAACATCACTAATTTTTTCGCTGCACAGGCGAAGCTTGTCGTCAGATAGTTGGGGCCCACAGGGGTCTGTCGCCAAACAGCTCCGATACAATGTCAGGCTAGGATCCACTGCTACACATGCTTGTCCCATGTTGTCGTCGATGGCATACACGCCTCCGATCCCAACAGTCCAATTTTTAGGCCGATGTTCTGCGCTTTGCATCCTATCGTGGAGAGACCCACGCTGATATACGCTCTGGCTATGTAGGAATACTTCACTGTAACGAGTATGGAGACTAGACGTCATATCGACAGTGGAGGCCAAATGTGGACTTTTGTTGGGTTCAAGAGGGCCTTCAAATCTCAACCCACACACCCAGAGTCACTTCTCCAGCTTTTTCCCTTCCAGCCAGCCTCGCGACCATGGGAATCGAGTCTCGGCACCCTTCGCCCACGCCAGCGGGCGCGCAACAGTTTTCTGAAAAAGACGCTGAGCAACACCGCCCAAGAAGATCGGCTGATATGAGCGACGGAGAAAAGTCACAGTCAGACAATGTCCCCGTTGACCCCCAAGGAAGACGACACCCATCCATGGCTCCTGGCCCAGATGGAAAGCGCGAATTGCGAGAGTGGGAGTGCTGGGACAAGCTCGCATATTCGTGGCCCAAGTGGAAAAAGGCAATGTACCTGGCGTCGATTGCTGGAATTCAAATCTCCATGAACTTCAACACGTCAGTGTATCCTAGTGCCGTCAACCCCGTCGCGGAGCACTTTGGCATCAGCACGCAGGCAGCTCGAGTCGGCCAGATGATTTATCTCGTCTTCTACTCGTTTGGATGCGAGCTGTGGGCACCATGGAGCGAGGAGTTTGGGCGATGGCCGATTCTGCAGTTGAGCATGTTTCTTATCAATATCTGGGAGATTCCATGCTCAGTGGCTCCGAACTTTGCTACCATTATCGTTTGCAGGGCTTTGGGCGGCCTCTCTACTGCTGGGGGCAGTGTCACACTTGGTCTTATTGCGGATATGTATGAGCCAGAAAATCAGCACTGGCCGCTGTGCTTCATTGTGCTGTCTTCTACTATCGGAACTAGTATCGGAGGTGTCATCGGTGGCCCTATTGAGCGCTGTAAGTCTACTGGCAGCAATATTACAAAAGACATGCTAATGTCACGTTGCAGACCTCTCATGGCAATGGAACTTCTGGATCCAACTCATCTTCGGTGTAACAGTACAAGCAGTCCACTTCTTCATGCCTGAAAGCAGAGCCACGATCCTCATCGACCGCGAAGCAAAGCGGCGCCGCGAGACAGGCGAAGACCCCAACATCTACGGCCCCAACGAGCTTAAGAAACCGCGCATCTCCCTCAAAGAAGCCGGCAAAATCTGGCTCCGACCTTTTGAAATGTTCATTCGCGAACCCATCGTCCTCCTCCTTTCCCTCCTCTCCGGCTTCTCCGACGCCCTCATCTTCACCTTTCTCGAAGCCTTCAACGTCACCTTCCCCAACAACTTTGGCTTTGGAACTCTGCAGGTAGCCTGGGCATTCATCCCCATCAACGCCTCCTACTTCTTCACCTACTTCCTCTACTGGCCCTGGTTCTGGCGCGACGACCACTTGCGCAAGAAAAACGGTCCAGACTGGATGACGCCCGAGCGCCGTCTCAAGCCACTCTTGCTACTCGCTCTCTTCGAACCCATCGGCCTCTTTGGCTTCGCCTGGACTTGTAAGATTCAATAACCCCCCCCCCCTTTCCAGTCTTGGAACGCAGTTTGAAATAGAAAAAAAAAGCTAACGCAAACTCAAAAAGGCATGGGTCCGCCCCAAACCCACTGGATCGCCCCGATGATCTTCTCCTTCCTCGTCGGCCTGGCAAACTTTGCAATCTACTACTCCTCCGTCGACTACATGATTGCAGCTTACGGCCCTTACTCTGCCTCTGCTACCGGCGGTAACGCATTCGCGCGCGACTTCCTCGCTGGTATCTCCGCCATGTATGCCACACCGCTATATCATAACCTGGCGGATTCATCGCCCCAGCGATCACAGTATGCGACGACGCTGCTGGCATGTCTGTCTTGTTTGATTGTGGTGCCGATTTACGTTTTCTACTGGAAGGGGCCGCAGATTCGCAAGGCGAGTAAGTTTGCGTCAATTTTGGCAGAGGATAGGAAGGCCGAGGGTGTGAGGCGGTTGAGCAAGGCTGATAATTTGCCTGCTTGAAAAAAAAAACAAGTCGTGTTTTAAATAACGATCGTGCATTGGGGGTTTTTTGATTACAGATGAGAGAATATCATCTTCTGGCATATTTGAACGATGATTGAGCCAGAACAGAATACTGTTCTCGCGTCTCTTCACCGATGTAGGCACTACACCAAGCAAACAAAAAAAGAATGTCATTTTCATTATTCGGCCTTTTCGAGATGGTGGGTGGGGGTATGCAATTCAAAGAGAATCCAACAAAACAAACAGCATTTCGCGTTAAATGGCCCGGTAGACACTCACAGGAAAAAAAAACGAACAAGTCCGCCCGCCAATTGGTCACCACGTCTAACCCGTTTCTTTCTCTCGCTCTCGAGTACCGAAAATAGCAAAAGGAGAACAAAATGATGCCCCAAAAGTATACATGTATGTGTTGTGTGTATGAGTAGTATATGTATAAATATATAGCCCAAAGCAACTTTTGGCGCGCGTTTTGATCATTTCTCCCAAAAAGGGGGGCAAAAGATTTTTTTTTACCTAAAGCGCGCTGTGCATCTGCCCATGACCTCGCCCTGGCAGACGAGCTCGGCGTTGAACTCTGAGCCGTCGAGAGTAAGGTAAATGTCAAAGTATACGCGGTAAAAAGTGCCTTGAGGGGTATCCATGCGTTCAAAGTCCTTTTCGAGGTTTTTCCGTGATAGGTCCGATGTCAATGTGACGACTTCCTTGATGCCTGTTTTTTCATGTTAGAAATTTATTATTGTGCCATTGAACTTTGCAGGGACTTACGAGGATCCTTGGTGTACTCTGGGCAGACATCGTCGTCACATGCGTACAGAATATCCTCGTACATGAGGGTTGCGCCTGGCGCCACCTGCCTGAAGAACGAAACCTTGACAGGCTCGCCAATCTTGACTCTTTGTCCCTTTTGCACAAAGATCTGGCGTGTGTACTTGCAACGATCTTTGCCGTCGAGTGAAGGGACGCGGTATTGTTCTGGGTGGTGACCCTCCTTGAAGGGCTGAAGGGTGGCCATGAGGTAATGCCTACGTGCAACACGGTGTGTGACGATGCGCTCGGTGATACCGGCGGTAACGGCTCCCTTGACAATGGCGGCGACCGAGTCCATGGGTCGAACAACCTTGGACTGAAATTGCGGAGGGACGTGGAGCTTAATTTGTTGAAAGAGGTACTCCGAGGCACCAAAACCACCGACAACCAGGACGTTCTATGTCAGTTAGCATTGGAACGATCTCGCTCTGAAATCGCATGTATTTACCTGTAATGACCTGTTCTGCGCCTGAATAGCAATGATTTGGTTCCTGACAAGTTCAAGAATTCGGTTCACCACAGGCTCAAAGCACTGCAGAATCTCCTCGTTGGTAAAAGTCATGTATCCTTCTTCAATGCCCGCTTCAGGGAACTCGGCCTCGATACCAACGTCAACGGCCCATTTCTGTCCGTTGTTACGGAAGTCGGCCTTTATCCTGTTCTCAAAGTCCATGATGCACTTGGCGTAGACCTTTCCGGCAGTCTTTGAGCCGTCTGGCAGCTTCATTTTCCTAATCTTCGCACGGAGAATGTTGCTAAAGTTGCGATTGAGCGCTGTAGAACCGCACGAGTCACCGGAGCCTGCTGTGCACTCGGCAACGGAGAAGGGTTGCTCCTCTTCGACCTCGTAGGCGATCAAATCGACGGTACCACCACCGCAATCGACAATGAGCACAGCGTCGTGTATCTTGAGGTTGAGCAGACCAGTCTTGGAGCAGAACATGGCAGCAGCCTCGGGTTCAGTAATGAGTGTCAACCTGTTGTCGTTTTCGTCACGAAGGAAACCCGCCTGGATGGCAGCAGCGCGCGTGGCAGCCTTTCCAGCATCGTTCCAGATGGCGGGGACTGTCAGGTAGTACCTGATGTTGCGCTCTTCTCGGTTGAACACCTCACCCAGCGTCTTCTGCAGCTGGTTCCGCATCGCCTGTCGGAGGTGAAAGAGGTAGTCGGCAGCGACATCGATCTCAGACTTGCCCGGGGGTAGCGGGGGAAGGTTGATGGGGTCAATGTATGTGTTTCCAGACAGCATCAGCTGCAGCTTGAACCACTCGACCTTTTGCACGCCAGGCTTGGGGTAGCCCGTGGGGGCCAAAGCATCAGCAATGTCAGGGCCCCAGCCAACAACCTTTTGGTACTGGTCGTAGTAGAGCACCGTAGGAATCTTTTGTTTGGTCTGGTTGCCCGCGCCAGGCCATTCGGTAATGATGTCTTCCTTGGCCTCAGTGTTTGTCGCAAAAGCGAATGCGACACCGGAGAAGGTGGTACCCTGCGTGAGTGTGTTGTGGTCAGCTTCTGCGCGCGTTGATGCCCAAGGCTGCTACTCACAAAATCAATGCCGACAATCAGCTGCGCCTTTGAACGACCCTCGCCCGCGACCTCTGCCATGGCGTTGGGCCTGTTGTACACGGCGGGCGGGCCATGGGGCGTAGGCGCGCCGGGCGGAGGTGGTGCACCATAGCCGTGGCCATAGCCAGGACCCGGAGGCCCTTGGGGAGGGTATCCAGGAGGGCCAGACTGGGGAGGGTAGGGCGGCTGCTGGGGAGGGTATCCAGGCGCCGACGTGTTGATGGGAGGAAGGGGACTCGCAGGACGGCCGTGAGCAGAGGGGGGCGCACCGAGGCCGCCTGGAGGAGCATACGTATATGAGGGCGGGCGGCCCAGAGGATTCTGGGGATTCATGGGGAGCGAAGAGCTGCTGGAATTGGAGGCCTGAGGAGACAGCGAGGTTGGACGTTGCTGGCCGGTGGGGTTTGCAGCAGCAGCTGAGGGAGTGGGCGACGACGAGTTGTGAGAGGAGCTCTTTCGTTTCGAACTCACGAGGTTCTTGAAACGGGTGTTCATGGAATTCATCAGACTGCGAGCGAGCGAAAGCTGCGAGGTGCGGGTGGGGTGCGGTCAAGGATATCAGCGAGCGCTGCTACTGCGGCTGACGGCGAGCTGGGCACTGTCCCAAACCGCTCAAGGCTGTGTGAAGGAAGCCCCGCCAACTGGGCTGCGGCGCAGTCGCAGCGTGGCTCCCTCAAGGCTGACGGCGCGGCAGCCTCGCCGTGTCCCTGGGCTGGGAGGGCGGCCTTGCTGATGCACATGCGCATGCATTGGATGATGCAACTGCAAATGCAAATGGACAAGGAGACGCAAACTATCCCGCTGTCCTCCATGGCAAAAGTCCTGGGCAGACACACGCCGCGGGGTCGCTCAACACAGGGCCGGGTCATCTTCCGCCGTCAGCATCCTGTCCTCTACACACCATTGGCGACCAAATCCAGTCGGCTGCGCTGAATCAGCCCCTTCCAGCCCCCCATCCCAACCCACACGTGACGCATACACTGTCGCAGAATCTAACATTTGCATGCCCACAATTGCACTCTACTCGACAGCCTTCTCTATCCTCCATCTGTCCATGTCATGCCACAAGACCCACCAAACGCCCCCAGGGTCCACCCAGGGCTTCCCTGTCCACTCCCACAACTCCCGCTGCCATAGGTGTACACTTAGTCCAAGTACACTACACACACGCAAGCCGTAAACCGAAAATTGTCCCATTTGCCATCATGGCTAGTATGCCGCTATCCCGAGTATCCCTGAAATGCTAAACAAAAAAAGATCGTGGTATCCAACGCCCCGTAAAACGCCATAACCCACCCACCCACATTCGCCCCCTCCAAAACGCCGCGCCCATGTCATTGTTGTTGTTCCCATGCCCATTCCTTTATCCCGTATTCCCTTGTATCCTCTAAAATATTTCCTTTCATCTCCAAAACTCACCTGTCCCTTATCCCTACCTCCAACCCTCACTCCAGCGCCCCATTCAACACCATCCACCCCAGCACGCCCGACACAACCAGCAATATAAACGCAACCACAAACATAGCCGCAATCCTCTCCACAGAATACCGTACGTCATCCGGCCTCTCCATGTCCACGCCAATCTCGCTTTCGTCATCCACATCGCCGTACCCCTCTTGGCCCGGCGGAATGTACTGGATCAGCGTGTCGCGGTAGCTCTGTCGCACCGCAACCGCATACGACGGCGGTGCTTCGCCTGTACATGACGCGTCGCTGTCCTCGAGGTACGTTTGCGCTGTGACGAGGTGCGCAAGGGGTACGTCATCGGGGCTCGCTGGCCGTGATGGTAAGTCGCTGTAGGGATGCGAAATCACCTCGTGCATCACCAGCTGCCGGTACTCGTGCCCATCGTGACGACAACCTGGGGGCATGCCTGAGTGCGCGGCTATTGGTACTTCATGTTCGTACCCGTCGTGGCTTATGTATGGGGGCGGGGGTGGCAGTGTTGAGAGCAGTGGTTTGCTGCTCGGCGCTGTTTCATCTGAAGAGGCTGCTGCTGCTGGGCATTGTGTCGACCGTGTAATTGCTGCGTGAAATCGAATATCGCCATATGGTGCTGATATGGTAGTGTTCTGTGCCAATCGTTAATTGAGGGGGGCTCTTTCTTTGGAACGGTAGCTTTGATTAATGGTCTGTACCTCCATGGTGACTTTTCCGGGAGCTGTAAATGTCTGAGAAGCTATGGCATATGATGGGCGCTCAGTTAATACACAACACAAAAAAGAGGCTGTTGAGCCAGATTAGTAGAGACTGCCTGTGCTACGTATGACATAAGAAAGGAGATTGGCATTTTAAGAAGGGGACATGGTCAGCAAGTGGTAGGAAGCTACAGCAAACGCTTAGGCCGCAGCCGCAGCTGCGCAGTAGTCTATCACGGCCCCCCCACCAGACGACTGGGATGCTGTTGTTGCGGCCATGGCATAGATATGCGCTTCCAAGTGACGGTAGTGGCTGGCACTGGGGGGGGGGGGGCGCGCGCGGGGACAAAGGTCGCTAGCCATGAGCTTGAGATGCAATGCGCCGATCACCCGAACAGGCACCCTCGCAGCCTAGACGACACACGGAGCATTTCCCCATTGTCAACTCGAGCTTTCTGCCTTGATTCCTTTTCTCATTCCTTTCCTTTTCGAGAACCGAACTAAGTACATCTTCTTTTGTTCAGCAAGCTTTGCTCATCATCGGTACGACTAAGCACAGGGATAACATGTAAGCCCTATCACCCGCAACTGCCCCCCCCCCCCCCAGTCACAAAAACTCAAAACCAACAACCATGGCCACGAGGTTAACATGTCCATGACAACTTTGGGGGAAGGGAAGCAATTCGCACCGAACGTGTTTCATGCCCAAAATAAAGTAGAACTCGGCATCTGGGAACTTTGGGAAACCTTGGCTTACCATGGCCAGATGCCCGGGTCCAATCAAAGTCCCCCCCAAGGCACGGGTCTATCATATACCCTAAAAGCATAGTAGTCTACGGAGAGCAGTGCCCGCCCGCGCGCGCAAGCGGAGCTGGGCCGAACAAAAAAAAACAAAGCAGATCAGACACATTAGACTATCGGAAAGTTTAGCCTGACCCAAAAGTCTCTGCACCCGCCAGCAGCCCAGGCCCACAGTCGCAAAGTTCCTGGTTGCAAACACGGCTATTCCGACGCCAGCCAGTGGTTGCGCGCCGTGCTCCTCGTTGGAACCACGTCGCAGCGCATCCACCTGCTTTCTGCCTAGCACACATAACGCACATGTTGAGTGGTACCCGCAACTCGACTAGCTAAAGCACAGGTAAAAAGGGGTTGGGGGAAGAGAGAGAGGGGAATTGTCCACGCGTATTGAATCAGTTGACGCGAGTGGACGTGCACTCCGACGTGAACGATACTTCCGGTAAGGGTACGTAGACCCATTGAACAACTTGGCGAACTTCTTGTCTGTGTCCTGTAGTCCTGAACCACTTTGTCAAAGATTACGATTCAGGCTCTGTGCCCATAT